GAAGAGTTCAATGATTTAGTTGTGGCAAATGAAATCTCTAGGAAAATAGAACACCCTTGGAGGAATTTGTTGCAAAAGAAATATACACCATATCTCACCATGGCAATTATGATTCCATTTTTCTAGCAACTTACTGGAATCAATGTGATTATGTTTTCTATGAATTAGTGTTGTTTAAGGCTATTGGTTTTGGTGCTGATACTTCAGCTTTGTCTATTGTTATCATTGGTGGAGTCAATATCATTGCCACTGTAGTTTCTATTTACTACTATATATGTTGATAAATTGGGAAGGAGATTCTTGTTTCTTCAAGTGGGATTTCAAATGCACTTTTGCCAAGTAAGTTAATTTTATTCATTTCATGTTCTTGGAATTTTTCATGGTGAAACTTTCGTTGGTTCTATTACATGACTGATCCCCTCTATTTGACATATCGTAAGAATGGATTCTACTTAGAATGACTCTATTCCGTCGTAGTTAGCCAAACATATTTAGATCCATAAGGATATAGTTGACTAAAAACTATGAGGTATTTTGAGGACAACATTAATTTGTGACTGAGATACCGACATTGATGAATCGAACCTAGAGATCTCAAGCTCAAGTCGATGTGGAACTCACGGCAAAATAATAAGAAATAGAAGAAGCAAGTTATGTACACAATTAATGTTTGGTTAAAGGTTGTACTTTTACCTTCTATAGTTTTTGCACTCATCTTGATCAAAGACTGTACTTTATTAACTCAATTGACTTCTCCCAAACTCATAAAAAGAAGGGATTTTAGCTTAGAACTAAATCACTATGAAGTTGGACTAATGGAAAATAGTATAATTTGAGGGACACAACTGGGATCCATTTAGAATATGTGAGGGTCAAGCTCAGTTGTTCCCTTTTTGTCTTCTTTGTCTCTTTGCTATTCCACTATATTAATCTTTAAAATTCCTTTTTCTTTAGTCATTATTTATTCTTTTTCCCCCCTTTGGCTTACTACCAGTCTACCACTACTCTATTTCTTCTACAATAAATTTTGAGAACAAAAACGAAGATCGAAACTTTCTTGAAGATATTATTAACGAATTTGACAAAAATTTTACAAAGACAACCTTTTTAACGATTTTTAGGTTTATATTGAAAGGGAGTTTGATTTGTTTATGTTGTTTTTGCACCCTCTTGTCCAACTATAAAGATTCACAAACCAAACTTGTTTGTCCTGTTTTTTAGATGAGAAATCTTTATTACTGCTGAGTAACTCCAATTTCAAATGGTTAAGAAAATACTTTTTCTATACTTGAGTTTTGAATATATAGTGACTGGCTCGACCACTTTTGAGTTCCTTTCTCTAATCGAATCATTCCTCTAAAGGTACTATCATTTCTACTTTGGATCCATCAATTTACTGTTTTTAGACTTGTTAGTGTTAATGACTACTTTCATATGATTTTAGTTTTTGTCAAGAATTGTTTATTTTTTCACCAATGACAATATTGCAGTCTGATAGTTAAAGCCTGAAAGTGTGAAGTTAAATTTGTGGTTTTAGTGAAAATTGAGTTTTAAGTGTTCTTGATTTACAGGTATAACTCAAAATTTGATTGACTTGTGTGGAAGTTGATGATTTGACACTGCATATTCAGTTATGGATATATCTCATTGGAACGTTTGTGTTGTATGTATATATATATATCCATTTTTTCTTTGAAGTGGATGAATAAAAGGTATTTTACAATTCTGTTGGCATGTCTTTGGCGGCATTTTTATCCTAAAATGCTCGGACTCTTCACTTTTGGTGCCGCACCCGTGTCGACACGACATGGGGTATGGGGTGTGGGATCCGTGTCCGATTTGGTCAACGGATTTTGGGTACTTTGACTAAAATCGATGGGAAAAGTTTGGACAATTTTAATGATTCCCATAATCAATACAAAAGCTAAGTGAAATTGAAGAAAATGAAATATCTTTTATATAGAAATTTCTATGTCACTCATTTTCCTTCAATCGCCTTCCAAGATTGTCCTTAAGTTCTCCATATAATACATCATAATTTAGGTTTTACAATTCTATTTTTAGATATTGAATTATTTTTAGGCGAATCCCCACACCCGTATCCATACATGGATCCATATCCCATCTGCACCCTTATATCAGACACCCACACCCGAGTCCGAGAAACTTATTTTTTTATATGCAGTTAACCGTTCCCTAATTTAAACCTTTTTCTTTTCTCGATTTGTCAATGGTGACGTGCCATTGTCTAAATGTTGTATGTTGTAGTCATGTTCAATTGTAGACGGCTTTCATATTTTTTTTGTTAATTTTATGTTTCAAGGTTCATTTCTTTTTATTGAGGTACATGATGTTAATATAGATTTCTATTTTAACAAAGTGAACATGACTAATGACTAGCTTGTTAATTATAGGTCCGGAGACTTGTAGTTGTTACTTCTCTACCAATTAGATTATAGGTCAGAGGCGAGACTTGCTTATTCATACACCATCAAACTGTATTAAATTGAGATTTCAATATCTATGAGGTATTTCATGCAATAGCCTAAAATCGATCCACCTTTTGAAAAAAAGAAACAACAGTTCTTACGACTTTATTTCCTCTATACATTTGTACTTCCAATAAGTTGAGCCACATTCATAGAGGCCAAAATTAAATTCTTAGTGGGTAATCTACTCACCTACCGAACTTAACCATGCATAGAGCTTAATCTTACATTTTCTTTCTGATTCTTGGATTATAGAGGAACTGAAAACTTTATATTGCAAGCTTTGAGCATTTTTTGAGTTTTCAATGGTCGGTGTTTTATCAGGTGTAACGCTTATATACCTCACTCAAATAAATATATGAATAAAATTCAATATGAGAATATGATAAATTATACGCAAAACTATGTTTGCTTTTTGCAAATCCTTTTTATTCCTACTCATTTTCCCAACTATTTATTACGGTTTAATTTTTTTGCAAATCCAAAGTTCTCACTTTCATATATTTTATCTTAAGAACTAACATTAAAAATAGTAATCAGACGTAAAAGAAAGACCATAAAGATGATTTTTTTCGAAGATTAAACAATTACATGTACGAAATATTTGCATTTACTTCTTTGCATGATTTAGTGATATTCTCCTCCTTCAACTAAGCCATGTTACTCAGCAAATTTAAAAGTCATTCTATGGATAATTCGAAACACTCGTTCTTCTCTAACTTGGACTCCACATTAGATATTCAATAATGCTCAAACATGCAATCAATTAGCTGATATTTTAACATTGGAATAACTTTTCCTCCTCTTTTAATTGCATAATATGTTGTTATTACTTAGATTGAAGCGAATGTTCAACTACAACCTTTAGTTAAGTTATCTATAAAT